CTTCAGGGTTCGTGGGTGGGGCCTCGGTGTGCAGTTTCGTGTCTGCGCTCGCTGGCGGCAGCGTTATTGTAAGCAAGCAGAGTTTCTGGGAGTCTCGTGCACTTCTTTTCTGAACAAGCTGACTGTCGTCTTCCTTCTGAGAGTGCTTATGGTCTCTATCAGGCCGTGATGTCGCTTACGATGCAAATTTTGTCAATGCTGCATGGGCTACTGGCATGTCTCTGATGTTGCGACTTTGTCGGGCGTTCCCTCACCGATCGATTTTTGTGCCACTGTGTTTTTCTCTGCCTGCTCGGGTAACTCGCACTCGCACTTACTTCCCATGGCAGTGCTACTTTCTTTTCAAAGGTGGTCAAGCCACGACTGTGCCGGTTTGGGATGTGCTAGACTTGCAAGTTCCAGTTGCGGGACCTGCACAATAGGGGTATGTGTGCCTGTACATTTAATCATGGTATATCACCAACATACACAGCATACACGACACACACACTAGACACAGGAACATATTTGCTTAACTAGATATGAGTAGTGCAAAGCTGTGGACACGCGTTTAGGAAATCCTTTTCTTCAGAGGGACAGCTCGCGCGATCCGGGTACTCAGCCATCTGGGTCCTAATCCAGCGTTCCTACTCTTCTGCTTGGGGTGTACCTTTCCGCAGTCGCGCCTATGCCTCGTCTTCACCCCATAAGTGAAGGGACTGCGTAGCTGGTAATTAGGTTCTTGGCATAGCAGCCAAGTCATCTGCGCCTGGACTATGTGCATGCCCTCAAGCCAAGTTCCTTGAGCCCGAAAACTACCTAACCTTGTAATTCCGCTGCGCGAAACCCCTAAATCTCAATTCTGAAGCCTGTAACTAAGTCTAAAGCCTAGCAACCCTTAAACCTAAACCTCAAACCCTAAAGAGCCCTTAAGCCATGAACCCTAAACCCCTGAGCCCTTTCGATTCAACCATAATCCCTTGCCCAAGCCCGGCATTTTCTCAGATTGCCCTCCCCTGAGCCCTGTGCCGAGTTGCATCTGAATCTGGCGGACGGACAACCGTGCAACGCCGGCTCGGGCACTCAAGAGCTGTCCTGTCCATGTGCAGCGTTTGTTGAGGGAGTGTGTACATGCTGCTCTTCAACTTATGCTTGGCATGTCTAGACTTATGGTAGGGTTCGGGGTTCGCAAATCGTTTTTTGTGGACCGAGACGGCCGATAAATACCCTCAAGCCAACTGAATCCTACATCTTGTGTTCATCAACGTTTGAAACACCAACATGGACCTTGATCGTACCTCACGAATTTTTCAACTTTGAATTTGAACCGCGAAAGTGCTTGCTGGATGTTGCTGCGTCGAGGTCCTGCAAACGCGGAAGCCCTCAAAGCTCTTCAGCAGGCCGGTTGCTCACTGTGGGCGAAAGTCCGGGAGATGCCCCGACAGAATTTCCCAATAAGCTGTGCCAGACTGGTGGACTTTGTTCAACAGACTCCACACATTCTGAGGAATCCCCCAAGCCAAAGGGACGGTTGGCATTTTGAGGCGTGGGGCCTGTCAGATCAGCGATGCCTAAATGGCTTAATCATACTTAACCCTTGTGAGTCAATTGAAACCGCATCGCTCACCGGAGTCCGCAACCACAGACCCGGAAGCAAAGTCAGAAACTTGGATTCTAAGGCTGGGTGCTTGCAAAGGAACTTCCTAGAAGTTACCATCATCGAGATAGGTGAGACATAGTGTGCGCTTCCTTGTTATGGTAGCAGCTTAGCCATAATCCAGCTACCATGAACTCCTTTCCCAATCCTCGTAGCAACCGTTATGATAGCCCATCACCAGCTTAGACCCGCATTCCTCCCGTGCCTGTGCAGGAGATCCAGGCCAATCTGCGGGTGCTGTTCGTGGGTGCTTGCATGAACTTGTGGTGCTTTCGTTCATTGCCTGTGTTGTGTGTGCTTATGTCTGCGTGCTGTTGTCTTCTGAAGTGTTGAGACTGATCTTAGGGTGTCTGGTTGCTCATCGGTGGAGTGACTCTGGGGTCAAGGAGATCGATTGACTTGACAACAACCATAGATACAGTCTTCACGACATCATCTGAAACTGCACACTGTGCATCTATTTTATGGGCCTGAGAACTCAATACGACTACTATCAACTGCGATTTTAGGACCCCAGTCTCCGAGACTGTGATGGCGGTTGCCCCATCGATGACAATTCCAGGGAAGTGGATGTCTCGTGGTTTTGAGGGGTCTCGGGATACTCAACAAAGCCGCTTTTGAACGGAACGTGCACGGGGCAAGCCAGGAGCACGGGACCCTTGACGCAGCCCTGAAGAATTTCTCAGTGCATGGATGGGACATTTGCGAAGCATAAAGGCAACCGCATCAACCCTCTGCCTCAAGCCAAACTTTGAAGAAACACAATCAAGTGAGGAGGAAGGCTATCTGCAGCAGGAAAGCAGCCGAGAGGCACCTTCCAAGCACTGCAAAACAAGATGCACCCTAAACCCAAAACTCTAAAGCCCCAAATCCCAAACTCCATCGAAGACCACACTCCTGCACAGGGACTGCGCGATGAAGACAGAGCCTCAGACTTGTCTCCAAACGGCCTCTGGGATGGAGCCTGCGACCTTCACAGTCGAAGTATGATAAGGTTTATAGGGCTTAAGGGCTTAATTGGGCTCAGGGTATAACAGGGTTTAGGTTTAGGGTCTCGTCTTTTACATCCGAGCTGTAGTTTGCGATGTTTTTTCTGTCTTATGCCAGGGCATGGATTGCTTTGAGCCATCAAGTGTGCTTGGAGTCCAGTCTTTACTAAGCCGGAGGGTCAAGGTCGAAAATAGCTGCTTATACATCATCCGAGAAGATGTATGCTATGGGCTGGGAGGGGATTAAAGGATATGGTGTAGATACTAGGACATCCAAAGCTGGCTTACATGTGAGAACCCCAAACCCTCCACCCCCAAACCCTAAAACCTGTCGCCCAGATACGACAGCACAAAGCTTCGTCGGATGACATCCAGCGAAATTGCCAGGACGCGAGTCGTAGGAGGTTCTTCGAATTTGCTTGGAGCTCCATGCTTCCCGGGTCGTTGAAGGCTCGGTTTAGGGGGGTTAGGGGTTTAGGGTTTAGGACTTTAGTGAGTTTAGGGCTAATAGGGTTTAGGGATGAAGGGGCCATATTGCGAGGTTTAGTCGAAGACACAAGGAGAGACACCGCTTGGTGAACCTAAGCATATCTGAGCGGATGGGTCGCGAATCTCGGTATGATCATGAGAACAGAGCTCTTTCTCAAGTAGGTCGTGATAAAGATGGGGCTGCACCGTTTGTTTTGCTTTGGGGTGGTAGCACTGTGTCATGGTATGCCTCAGGAGGCAGGAAGTAGGAAGTCGTCGGGCTTCTGGGATAACATCTTGACAGCCACCGGGACAAGAAGAGAAGCTCACCCAAAGCGAATCGAAGCAACACTGAGACTCTGGGTGGATAGAGGGGACTTCCAGTGTACACCGCGAGTTGTACTTTGATGCCTGCAAGGTCATGTCTTAATCATATCCGGCTCATTTGTTTTCGCCACCTGCACTTCTTGAGCCGTTCCCCATCAACTCTTTTCACTGTTAAGGGCTGGAAGGCAGCGGTCAACGAATCTTCGAAGCCTTCGCCAGGAGGTGAGAGAGACCCTCTCACGAATCATATCCATGGCAGAGCAGAATAGCGAGCAGCGCAGAAGAAGAGGCGTGCAGCACCGAAGGATTGGGGAGGCGATTTGGGTTCAATTCTTCTCGGGCTTGCTACGTAAAGTCTGAAGCGAGCTTCTCGTTCCTTCCATGCCTTATTGTTCGTGTGATGTCGTCATTTTCATTCGTTACGCTAATCCTTCGTGTTGGAATAGAGGTGGAATCCCTCTGCAGGTCCAGAAGTACAGCCGGCCTGAAAGTCTGTTAACCAGGACCCACCTTGTACCCTCAAATAGAGGTTCTTTTAGTCCCGAATTAAGGTTATTTAGGGTCTATAGAGGGTAGATGGAGGGTCCAGGAAGTCTTCACAAGGTACTTGAAAGCCCATGCCATGCAGGACGCTTCCGACCCGGGTCAGAAGACCAGCCTTCTTCGAACAGCTTATTGAACTCCTCTAGAGTATCATAGTCACATGCCTTTCATCCTCAGGCCCTGTAGCCCTGCCTTGTTTACAGACTTGATGCTGTTTCTACACCCTTCAGAAACAGAAAGGTCCTGCAGCCAAAAAAACATGCCGCAGGTAGCCATGTAGTTTCATAACTGGGAGGGATCTCACACGCTTTGAGAATCGAGCCCGAAACACTGATTCCGTGAACCAGATGGAACTACAGAAAGATCTCCCTTGAATCCCTGTGCCCACATTTGGTGCAGCTGCCCTAAACCCAAGCCCTATAACACCCAAGCCCCAAAACACAAGCTCCCACAGGGCCGCCGGACCGCGGTGCTTTTGCAGATGTGCACGAGGGAGTAGGCCAGCTTGCGAGTGCTTTGGCCGGCTGGGGAGGGCTTTGTGATGGACTCTTCCAGGGTTTAGGGAGTTCAGGGCTGGGGGTTAGTCTCTATAGGGCTCTGGTGCTTTAGGGTTTCAGGACTTCAGGACGGTTCACGGAGATCTTCCGGAGATTTTGCATGAAATGTTCTTGATCGGTTGGTTTTCCCGCAGTCAGAACATCCCATCCGGTGTTCTGTGCCAGGTGGAGGCACCTTCTCTCCGTCCGCGGCCCGAGGCGGCATGACATAAGCTTGAACCGTCGCCAAAATCAACAGTGTTTCATCCCTTCATGCATAACTCAGGGCGTCAATAGCAGTAACAGCTGGTTCAACGAAATTGATAGCATGTAAGGTGTTTCTTGGGTGGGGCGTTTCAGAGTTTGATTTGGCAGTGCTTGAAGACAGAACAAACAAAGCCAAGCAAAGCCCGTGCCAGAAGAGTCAGAAGACCTGTATCTAGAAACGAGATACTGTCGGAGTCGACGAGTCTTCTTGCATACCCTCCATAACAGACCCAGGAAGACGGACATGTTGGGTAAACTTCATCCTTCCAGTCTTTTGAAGCATGCCGCTCGCTCAATGCAGCTCCGGGCTCAATGCAATCATGAGGCTTCCCGCACATCGGAAAGTGTGGAGGACTTCGGCATGCGCCTATCCAAGTTGATAAGGTGCATTTCCTCCTCATCCGGGTGTCACTCCACGGTGTGCAGTCCTCCGGCCTGGTGGAAGGCCGGACATGCCCGGAAACAGCCGGGCAGCCTTGCGGAAGCTGAGCTCCTCTCACACCTGGCCGTGCTTCTGCGGCCGGAGGAGCCGATCGAAGAGCTCTTCCGGGATTTTCCTGCAGTACGAAGCGATGGATGGAGCAGGAAGACTTTGAGCCCGGATCTGACGGTGTATGGTGCTTTGCAGGCCAAAGAAGCGGCCTTGTTCTTGGAGTACGACGGCTATTATCGGCACCTGATGCCTCCTGGCGTTGCTGCCGATGCTCGCAAGAGTAAGGCACTCTTGGACTTTGCACCGGCCGGATCGTATGTCTTGCGCATAGCCCACAGCCATCGCGAATGGGAGCCTTCATGCGAGATGGGAGAAGTGGTGGTAGACACGTGGCAGCCGAGCCGTGAAGCATCCTTGGTGAAGGCACTTCGTCAAGTTGCTTTGTTCTTATTGAGACAGCGGGGAAATGCACTGCAGCCTCGTCTAGAAGCAAAGTTGCAGACCTTTGTGGAGAATCCCAGTGGGATCTCCCGACAAGCAGCAGTTGAGTTCACGGAGAAAGTAGTATTGGAGCGTGAGTGCGAGTTCGACCCAGCACCTCTGCATGAGTTTCTGCAGGCACAACTGAATCTGTCGTATTCGGAGGGCGAGGAATTCATCAGAAAATGCCCTGCCCTAGCTCGCTGCAGCATTGAAGATCGGCTTCTGCCCAGGATGCAATTTCTGGAAGCTTGCGGCCTGAACAAAGTCGAGGTTGCCAAAATTATTGTCCGATCTCCCGCTGTGTTGGGACTCAGCGTCGAAGAGAACTTGAAGCCCAAAGTCCAGTGGCTGCGAGATTTAGGGCTGACGAAAGCCGAGGTTGCCAAAGCGATTGCACGACATCCACAGCTACTGGGACTCAGCCTCGACGAGAACTTGAAGCACACGGTGCACTGGCTTCGATATTTGGGACTGACAACAGCTGGTGTTTCCAAAGTGGTTGTTCGGTCTCCCTCAGTGTTGGGACTGAGCATCGAACAGAACTTGAAGCCCACGGTCCAGTGGCTGCGAGATGTGGGTTTGACGCAAGCTGAGGTTGCCAAGGTAATTGCTCGATTTCCCTCTGTGTTGGGACTCAGCATCGAAGAGAACTTGAAGCACATGGTGCACTGGCTTCGAGATGTGGGACTGACGCAAGCTGAGGTTGCCAAGGTGATCGCCCGGTTTGCACCAATGTTGTGGTGCAGCCTCGAAGAGAACTTGAAGCCCACGGCCCAGTGGCTTCGAGACTTGGGACTGACGAAAGCCGAAGTTGCTAAAGTGATTGCACGACATCCACAGTTATTGGGACTCAGCATCGAAGATAATTTGAAGCCCACGGTGCAGTGGCTGCGAGATGTGGGCCTGACGAAGGCTGAGGTTGCCAAAGTGATTGCCCGACATCCACAGATGTTGGGATACAGCATCGACAAGAACTTGAAGCCCACGGTCCAGTGGCTGCGAGATTTGGGGTTGACGAAAGCTCAGCTTTCCGAAGTGATTGCCCGACATCCATCAGTGTTGGGATACAGCATCGACGAGAATTTGAAGCCCAAGGTCCAGTGGCTGCGAGAGTTGGAGCTGACGAAAGTCCACGTTGCCAAAGTGATTGCACGACATCCGTCAGTGTTGGGATACAGCATCGAGGAGAACCTGAAGCCCACGGTGCAGTGGCTGCGAGATTTGGGCCTGACGACAGCCGAGGTTGCCAAAGTGACTGCACGACATCCGCAGCTATTGGGACTCAGCCTCGAAGAGAACTTGAAGCATAAGGTCCTGTGGCTGCGAGGGTTGGGGCTGACGAAAGCTGATGTTGTCAAAATACTTTCTGGTTTTCCGCAGATTTTGTGGCTGAACATCGAGAGGAGCTTGAAGCCGAAAGTGTCTTGGCTTTTGGAGCAGTTCTCCGCCGAATGGGTTCACTGCCTTCTCGTTCGCAATCCCTACATTCTGAGCCGAAGGCATCAGCGTTGGGTTAGACGTTCCCAGATTCTCCGGGAATGCGGCAAGCTTTCAGTGTTTGGGTCTGCTGTGTTGCTGACGGATGCCAAATTTGCCGCGAGGTACGAGGGAAAAACACGCGGTGCCACTTGCAGTTTTAAGCGCAGCAGTTGCCCCTTCAAAAAACCACACCGGGAGCCAATCATTCTTATGACAAGAGAATCTGCGGGATTGCCGTTCTGTGGGACTTAGGGTAAGCCCTCCTCCCGCGAAAACCTTCTTATCACCAGAGTCGCGTCGCCCTCATAGCCCCTCCCCTGGCCCCCGAATCTACTGATACGAGATCCCTTCACCATGCCTCGAAACCCAATTGCTTTACACAAGCTGGAAGGGTTTCAACTTATAAACACTTGGTGTCGAGGGTAATGCTATTGCGCCCAGAGGGTAGCCAACAAAAATGATGTCGAAGCTGCTTCTCTGCCTGGCGGCTGACTGCCGAGCTACCTGCTTACTTTAAACTACCCAAATCTAGTTGAGGTTTTCGGAGTCTCGTGCTTCGGGTTGTGTGTAGGCACTTTTCGGACCGAAAGTGGAACATCCATTGAAACCCCTTGGCCAGGCGGGGCTTCTGTCCATCCATGCGCCGGTGCAGGCATCGGCCCTCCGATTACACGCAGGAGCTTCAGAGCAAAGCAGAGATGCTACTTGCACAAAACCCCTTTGATACTTTGGAGACTTACTACCCCAAAGCCTAGAGACTCGTATAAGTATACGGCCAGGAGACCGTGTCTTTAAGACGTTTTAAGACAATGAAGACATAAACTCCAGCAACCCTTAACCCAGCACACCCCCCAGAAACGACACGAAACTGAAGGCCTTCTAAAGCCAACCCCGAAAGGTCAAGCTCCAAGGCTCTGAATCCTCGCCCTCCTCTCGTAGATGTTCCTGAATGGCATCGGTTTGGGTTTCAGGGCTTTTAGAGGCATGTGGCTCATAGTTGAGGTTTTTTTTTGGCTTGCGGAGCCCCGAGGTTGAGCCTGTTTGTCCGAATTTCCTCGGCCAGGTGGGGCAGCTTTCTCTCCATCTGTCTGCACAGGCGGTAGCTGGAGAGTCTTTTTGTCCGAGGATCTTGGGGCGGGGAATGGCATTAGTGCGTCTTTCACAGAGGATGAAGGTAGGGTTATGGGTTGTGCGTTTTCTACGGCTACAAGGTCCAAGAGAGCACGTAAGGCACCACTTCATTCAGGGTTTGGGGTTTGGAAGCCTCATAGCCTGACAGTTGGAGCTTGGCAGCTGCAACCATTCGGAGGCATCCGGCTCCGTTGGTTGTAGATGCACACGTTGCAGCCTTGACATCTGTTTCATGTAGGCGCAAAATCCAATGAGCCCGGTGAGGTGGTGCGGTGTTCCAGCCGTCCGTTGCTGCAGGCCAGCGTGAATGCACCCTCCTCCCACCCCAATTTCGATTTCTCAGCATCTTGTTGATTAAGCCTGCAATATAGGGCACGCAACACTTACCATTACTGCTTAATCTTAATTGCAGTCCCCAAATCTAATTTTAGGATTATGCGCTTCTAAACCGTATTCAATATATTAAGCCCCTCCTTTAACAGAAGTGCAGATACTTGTTCGATTTGGCGTGTGCAAGTGGTGGCTGCAGAACCCAACAGAGCCGAGGCCATGGCTCTACGAGGTGTTTACAGTATGAGCCCAAAAGTTGGAAACCCAATAGCTACATAGTCCTGATGTCTCCTGCACATGGCAAGCCTCAGCCCAGAAAGAATTTCGTCAGACCAGGACACTGCCTGTACCCTCAAATAGGAAGGGGTGTTTGTACTTAGGGCTTACTAGGGGGTAGGTGGAGTATATACATATGTGGAGCTGCAACAAGATTTACACGTAAACCTTTCCATACACTGTAGAGCTTCAGCTTGCTTCCTCTAGAAATTTCAGAGAAGCTGGCAAAGCGAGTCCGAGCTTCTGTCTTCGGAGTTCGAACTTGACGTTGGGCTTTCACTGATGAAAGCTCGTGAGATGACAGGTTGAGACAGCCTTGCAGGGTTGTGTAAGCGTGTCCTTGGGTTTCTTCTCGCTCCTGTAGAAAAGCAGGTTGGTCGATCTGTGAATCCGACCTGACTCCGTTCCCCGAAGCTTTCGCGCACAGTTTCGAGCTCCGGCATGAATTTCTCCACGAAACGCAAGCTGCCAAGATCCTTCGGATGCCTTATCGTGGGTTTTCTCACTCTCCTTTCTTGTGAGTATTGCGCCGTGCGGAGCCCTCCGGGCTGGTGGAAAGCCGGACGTGCTCGGAAACGGCTGGGAAGCGTCGCAGAGGCCGAGCTCCTCTCGCACTTGGCAGTTCTTCTGCTGCCGGAGGAGCCGATTCGCGAACTATTCCGAGATTTCCCTGCGGAGCGGAACGAAGGATGGAGTCGCAATACTTTGAGCCCGGATTTGGCGGTGTATGGTGCCCTGCAGGCACAAGAGGCGGCTTTGTTCTTGGAGTATGACGGTTATTGTCGCCACCTTAAGCCTCGTGGCATCCTTGCTGATACTCGCAAGAGCCAAGCGCTGCTCGACGCTTCACCTGCCGGATCGTACGTCTTACGTATAGCTCATGCGCATCGGGGATTGCAGTGTTCATGTGAGATGGGGGAAGTTGTGATTGAGTCGTGGCAGATGGGACGGGAGTGCTCATTGGTCAAGGCACTTCGTCAAATCGTTGAGTTCCTATTGACGCTGCAGGGTAGCAAATTGCAGCCTCGTCTGAAATCAAGGTTGCAACAGTTTATGGATGATCCCGTCGGCACCTCCCGGGTGGCAGCAGCTGAATTTACGGACCAAGTAGCAACAGAGCGCGACAGCGACTTCGACCCGGCGCATCTGCACGAGTTTTTGCAGTTGCAGCTGGGTTTGTCGCCTTCCCAGGCACAGGAACTCGTAAGGAAATGCCCTGCTCTTGCGGTCTGTAACCTTGAAGACAAGCTCCAGCCCACGGTCCAGTGGCTGCGAGAGTTGGGGCTGACGAAAGTCGAGGTTGCCAAAGTGATCGCCCGGTTTGCACCAATGTTGTGGTGCAGCCTCGAAGAGAACTTGAAGCCCACGGCCCAGTGGCTTCGAGACTTGGGACTGACGAAAGCCGAAGTTGCTAAAGTGATTGCACGACATCCACAGTTATTGGGACTCAGCATCGAAGATAATTTGAAGCCCACGGTGCAGTGGCTGCGAGATGTGGGCCTGTCGAAGGCTGAGATTGCCAAAGTGATTGCCCGACATCCACAGATGTTGGGATACAGCATCGACAAGAACCTGAAGCCCACGGTGCAGTGGCTATGTGATTCGGGACTGACAAAAGCCGAGGTTGCTAAAGTGATTGCGCGACATCCGTCAGTTGTTGGACTCAGCATCGAAGAGAATTTGAAGCTCACGGTGCAGTGGCTGCGAGATGTGGGCCTGACGAAGGCTGAGGTTGCCAAAGTGATTGCCCGACATCCACAGATGTTGGGATACAGCATCGAGGAGAACCTGAAGCCCACGGTGCAGTGGCTGCGAGAGTTGGGGCTGACGAAAGTCGAGGTTGCCAAAGTGATCGCCCGGTTTGCACCAATGTTGTGGTGCAGCCTCGAAGAGAACTTGAAGCCCACGGCCCAGTGGCTTCGAAACTTGGGACTGACGAAAGCCGAAGTTGCTAAAGTGATTGCACGACATCCACAGTTATTGGGACTCAGCATCGAAGATAATTTGAAGCCCACGGTGGAGTGGCTTCGAGGTTTGGGACTGACAAAAGCCGAGGTTGCCAAAGTGATTCGTTGGAAGCCACAGGCGTTGAGTTACAGCATCGAGGAGAACTTGAAGCCAACGGTGCAGCGGCTGCGAGATCTGGGCCTGACGAAAGCCGTGCTTGCCAAAGTGGTTGCACGCTTTCCTGGAGTGTTGGGACTCAGCGTCGACGGTAACTTGAAGCCCACGGTGCAGTGGCTGCGAGATTTGGGGCTGACGAAAGCCGAGGTTGCCAAAGTGGTTGCACGACATCCGTCAGTGTTGGGGCTCAGCATCGAGGACAACTTGAAGCCCAGGGTTCATTGGCTGCGAGATTTGGGACTGACGAAAGTTGAGATTACCAAAATATTTTCTGGTTTTCCTCAGATTCTGGGGTTGTGCATGGAAAAGAACCTGAAGCCTAAAGTAGGTTGGCTGTTGGAGCAGTTCTCTACTCAACGGGTTCGCTGCCTTCTCGTTCGGTATCCATATATTCTTGGTCGAAGACTTCAGCGCTGGGATCGACGATCCCAGATACTCCGGGAACACGGTAAAATTTCTGTGTTTGGGTCTGCGATGATGTTGACGGACGCTGCATTTGCTGAGAGATACGAGCGACAAATCCGTTGATGATCAGCTTCCTCTTCGGGGGAAGCATTCCAGAAAATGCAGCCTTCTGCTGTAAAAGTAGAGGCTTTTGCAACTGGAGGGTCGGAGGCTTCGAGCATGGATCCCATGCACTTCTCTCCCGGATTAATGCAGGTAGTCAGGATTCAATGTTCCCTTCAGAGGCTTCAGAGGTAAGGATGAGCCATACCAATCAACCAGAGAGCCCGCACCCCTGTGCACACATCTGATGATATCATCGAGCCCTTGAATCCCTGGAGCTGGCAAGGCAGCGGTGTTTTCCAGACGTCCGTCGGTGCAGGCCAGTGAGCACGCACATCCACATTCGACCCAGCTTTGATGGTTCGGGGGTGTGTTTCTTGAAGCACAGTAGAATACTATGAGGTCCTTCGGACCGAATGCTATCACACGCGGCCTTAGGGCCTTTAAAAGGGTAGCCCGTGGATGCTGTTTTCTTCGGCTCGCGGTATGCAAGTGACGAACAGGGGAGTCCGAAGAGGGGCTTTAGGCGAGAGGTTCACCGTGATACAGATTCTCCTCGAGGGTTTGAAACTCCGATGGAGCGCTAGGCCACAAACCTATGCAGATCCGACTCGGAACCCGCACATCATTCCCTCACCAGGCGGTGCTGCTTTCCAAGCGTCAGCCGGGACAGGCCGGTCGGCGATGATTTCTCCCGACCTCCTTGGCTCAGGGCTTCGAGTTGCCTTGCTGCCATTTGTAGTTTCATAGCTTCGGGTCATGAGTCAGAAGTGTTAGTTGCTTTTGAACGGGTAAGCATGCCAGGGTCAAGGAGTGCCAGCTGCTAGTTTTTTAAAAGTGCTTTTGCATGCAGACCGGTTGCATGTTGTTGGGTTTGAAGGAGTGCTTTGCGGTAGGTGTTTCCCTTGCACTTTCGATACACTCTGTTCCAGCAGACAGTCGTGTTGGCATAGATCCTGGCGGGATCCCAAAACATGCAAGCCGGGTAGTGAAGTATCGAAGACAGGAGCTAAAGTTCAGGGTCTAGGTACTCCTGAGATCTCTGAGTCTGAGTCGTGGGCGGAGCCTTTAAAGCCGCCAAGAGCCGTAACGATCCCGTTTCAAACCTGAGAGCGCTGTCTAGAAGCCACCATGCGTCGGCGACCGGAGACTTTGTTTTGTCCCGAATGATTTTGTTTTGTTCCGAATTTGCAATAGAACTCCCTACGGCCCTACAGGGAGTATGTCTTGAAATGCAGGTGTCTATAACACGTACGTAAGGTGCTGACATCTTTAGACTGTGGATTTCGAAATTCATCTTGGGCGGCTATGGAGTCTTTGGATCATTCGTGAGGCGGGCCCTTCTTCTCCCCGGCAGAGGGAGCAGGTGGAACACCAGTTTCTGTCAGGGCTTGGCTTGCTTTAACTGTGGGAGGGGAGGGGTTCTACATCATCATGCTTTCAGTAGCCATGTTGCTGCTAGCATTATTAGAACAATCCCCCGGCAAGTATTCGTAATTAGGGTCCAGTACACTATATGGTCAACATACAGGAACCGAAAAAAGGTTCCCGGTGCAGGTGTGCTGCCAGTTGCATAATGGTCACCACGAGCTTTGTGCTGCTGTTTGTGTTGACACTCGAGAATCCGAGCACTGTGCCCTGAACCTGAAACCTGCTTGGAGGTTCATAGGTAGCTCTAAGTGGGGTTATAAGTCCCTTCATACGGGCTATAAGTACAGTCACCCTACTTAAACCTCTACTTAGAAATATCCATGAGCCTCCAATGGACCTATCGCCGTTGGAGAGCCAGGTCATGCGTGTCTGTTAGCTGCGAGCTGGGTTCCGGCTTTGCAAGTCCGGGCCGTCTTCAGAGGATCCCCTTGTTCCGTTACTTTTGTCCAGTCCTAGGGTCCTCTTGTTGGAAGCATCTGTTTCGTAGATCTAGCGCGGCTCTGGCAAATTGACATCCCTATGGCAGCAGTCTGCAGCCTGGACCAAACCCTAAAGCCACAGAGTCATCAGTGCTCAAGCAGCTTGCGTCTCAACAGTTTACAGTCTTTGACCATGTGCTGTTGCAGCCTCAGCTTCATAAATCCTCCACCCTTTCAGCCTATAAGAGCCTAGAATCCCTGTGAACCTTCAAAGCCCATTAGCCTCATGAGCCCTAAACCTTCTAACCCTGGCCTGAAATCACCAGGGACCAGGCCTGGGCTTCGATATCAAAGTGTGGGGTGAACCATATCACTCTTACATTGCGCTGCGTTTAATATTAAGGAACTTAAGTATTTACATTATTATTAGTAGATTACTACTATTCTTTATATGTACGATTGCGGTTGTCCGTGTTGTTATTGTTCCTATTACATCTTACTGTATCGTTATTATTGGTTGTCGGGGTCGCCGGTCATGATGAGTTCTTGCGAAGAGAAGCTCCCTCGTGATGTGTCGCTGTGTGGACATCGTTGTGTAACGTTCTGGTTCATTGTTATTTCTGTACCCGGATTTGTTGCGTTCTGGATCGGTTTTTAAGTTTGACCTTAGCGGTCTGAATCGGGGTAGAGGAATTCTTTGATGTTGGCGGTTGGGACCCACAGCTTCTTGATAGTGCTCGACGAGCTATGTCTGAAAAGCCGAACACCTCCTGGAAACTTCAAAGTCGAACCCTTGATGCCCTCACTGCTACAAGGTTCCGAAGACTGAGTATAAGCTTCCACGAAGCTCTGTCAACAGAAGGTGGGCTATCCTTCTCTCCTTCCGCGGGCGCAGGCCCGCCTCTGATTTTGCCAGGGAGGGAGTCGAATAGTGTAATGAGCATGTTAGACCTGTGTAGAGTTGGTCGGGCAAAAAAGAGGGTTTGAAGGTTTATACAGTGCAGGTGTTGCGAATGCAGGGATTAGTCCGGGCAAGCACCCCATTCAAGACCAGGCATATCGCAAAAGTTGCAACGATCATGTCTTGTTAGATTTCCTTGCGCTTTCGAGTATCGACTCGTGTGATGCAGATTCAGGCCCATGCAAGAAGCTGCCATGATGAGGCCTCCGACCGGCCATGAGGAATCAAAGGCGGTGGAGAGCCTGTCTTTTCTCGGGCTTCCTGGCCTTGTTACTGTTCTCCTGCGACGTATGTGTGGTGCGAAGTCCTCCAAATTGGTGGAAAGCCGGGCGTCCGCGGCGAAGGCCGGGAAGCCTGGCAGAGGCCGAGCTGCTGTCGCACCTGGCGGTGCTTTTGCTGCCGGAAGAGCCGATCGCAGAGCTCTTCCGGAATTTTCCTGCAGAGAAAAGCGAGACGTGGGGTCGCCACACTTTGAGTCCAGACCTGGCAGTGTATGGTGCTTTGGAGGCACAGGAAGCGGCTCTGTTCGTGGAGTATGACGGCTACTACCGCCATCTGGAGCCTGCAGGCATTGCAGCCGACAGACGCAAGAACACAGCTCTCCTGGATTGGGCACCTGCCGGATCCTACGTGTTGCGCATAGCCCATGCCCATCGTGGACTGGAGCTTTCGTGCGAGATGGGGGAAGTTGTTGTGGACTCGTGGCAGCCTGGCCAAGACCCATCGTTGGCGAAGGCACTTCTCCAAGTCGCCGAGTTCTTGTTGAAACAACTGGGAACAGCAATGCATCCTGATCGAAGGGCAAAGCTGCAGCACTTCGTCGAGGATCCTGGTGGGAGCTCCCGGCAAGCAGCGGTTGAGTTCACGGAGCAAGTAGCTGCAGAGCGCGAGGGTGACTTCGACCCGTCACATTTGCATGAATTGCTGCAAATGCAGCTAGGAGTGTCCATTTCCGAAGCGGAGGAACTTGTAGGCAAATGCCCTGCTCTGGCACACTGTGACATCGACCACAAACTCAAGCCCGTGATGCAACAGCTGGCAGCGTGGGGCCTTAAGAAGTCTCAAGTTGCGAAAGTGCTTGCTCGATTTCCGAAAGTTTTGGGATACAGCATCGAAGATAATTTGAAGCCCACGGTGCAGTGGTTGCGAGAATTGGGCCTGACGAAAGCCGCGCTTGCCAAAGTGATTGCACGGCTTCCGCAAGTATTGGGATACAGCATCGAAGGGAATTTGAAGCCCACGGTGCAGTGGCTGCGAGATTTAGGCCTGAAGGAAGTGGAGGTTGCCAAAGTGATTGCACGATATCCGTCAATGTTGTCACTCAGCATCGAGGAGAACTTGAAGCCCACGGTCAGATGGCTGCGAAACCTGGGTTTTACAAAGGCTGAGGTTGCCAGAGTGATATCTCACTTTGCGCCGATTTTGTGGCTCAGCCTCGAGAGAAATTTAAAGCCGAAGGTGTGCTTGCTCTTGGAGTGGTTCTCGTCTGAGACGGTGCGGCATTTGCTCGTCCACAATCCGTACATGCTCAGCCGAAGCCGAGAGCGCTGGGCTCACCGGGCCCAGGTCCTGCAGGCATGCGGCAAGCTTTCTGTGTTTGGGTCTGCGATGATGTTGACAGAAGCCGATTTTGCCAAGAGATACGACAGCAGATTGCCAGATCAAACAAGATCCGCAGGCGCAAAAGTTGCGAGCTGAATGGCAGTTCCTGCATGTCCATAAACGGATGTACTCAGGTACTTCTGTCCGGAGTCCACGCCTTCGTGTAGGAAGCCTGAGGTTTAGGCAGTGTTCAGACCATGGACGTGCGGCGATGTGGCCAACATACAGGGGGTTGTCGAGTCGTCGGATCGGGGGTGTCAGGATTCTCTTTCAATTTCCATGTGATAACCCTAAGGGTCCATGTGCCTACGTCGTGTTTGCATTTAAATGGCCGAAGAGTTTCCTTTAATTCAACCCCATAATATTTACTACTGGGCTAGAATGGGGAGGAGCACTTTGCGTGGCATTCTGGCAAGGTGGGCCCTGCTTCTCGCCCTCAGCAGGTGGAGGTGGCATGCGCTTTCTGTCTTTTTGCGTCAAACGTGCTCTGCTTCCGGGACATATGTGCTGTACTATCCCCAACCCTCCAGGTGCCTACTATATAGGCCCTTAGGGGCTCTAGTACCCTATATAGTATGTACCTGGGGGGTTAGGGTATGTTTTCGGGTACATCGGCTTTACAGGGCTTCGATGCTTGAAAAACTGAACTGATTCTGCCTGCTGGCTTCACTTCTGGCAATGCAGAAGGTGCTCCAGGACTCCTCCAATAGGGTTGATGGAGGTAGGAGGGGGTCGAGGCCTCATTACACGTAGACATGACCCAACAATTTAATCTAATGCGTCCTCCAGCCGGGCTCCGTGCGTGTAGGGGTTTAGGTCGGTACTAGATGTTTGGGGTTTCCGATTTTCGATTGTCCAAGACATAGAAACCGGCATGTGAAGCTATTGGCCCAGCCACTAACCAAACGCTCGAAGCTGAAAAACCAATATCGAGCGTTACCCTGAATATCCCTCAGGTTCAATTATTGAGCACTTGAAATCTCGAAATCCTGAAAGCCTGCTGCTGAAAGTCTCAGGCATCAATAGTCCATGCAGAAGATCTCTCTCGGATCGTCCCGAAGCTTTCATCACATGGTATAACTATTATCAACCACAAAGTCTGAGCGAATCAACAAGCACTGGGTTCCTTCTGAACAGTAATCCAATGGGTCTGAGACCCAATGATGCACCCGAAATCTTTCTACTTGTTTTTGGTGCAGGGCGTATGTTGCCCAGAGCTTGCGCAGCGCCGTCGCGAGGACCGGCCTTCTCTCCCTCGGCGGGCGGAGGCGCAACGGACTGGCAAAGGGTGCAGTTTAGGGTTAAGGGTTTAGGGTTTCGGGTTTTGGGTTTAGGGTTTGGGGTTTAGGAGTCGGAGCCTGGGTTGGCAGTGTACATGCATAGGAAGGAGGAGATGGGGTGACGGTGGGATGTGTTTGTTGTTTTGGTGCATCAGTCGAGACGCTGTGTAGTCTGGTTGAATTTCAGAAAGAGCCGCAGAAAATTCACTTTGAGGCTACATTATGACGCCCGAGACAAAGCCACGGAGAGCCTAGGGATGTCTTTTGTCAACAAAAAACAATCTATTGCAAGCCTGAAGCCAAAGCAAACAGCAGAAAGACAGGCAAGCCACACGGGATCAACTCAGCGTGACGATTTCGGATTCGGCGTTTTGGTCTTGCGGGGCTCTTCCAGGGTCGGGCTCTAGCCATAGAAGTGCGAGTTTTCGGACTCCCGTTCCAGGCATTGTCGAGATGAGCAAAGCTGGTTTGGAAGTTGTTCATGTCTGTGGCCTCTGCATGTGGGTACAAAGGGTGGCAACTTTGCGAGGCATGCCTTGCTTCTCTGCCTTTGGGGGCGGAGGCACCCAACCAACAGGCAAGGGGTTGGAGTGCGGTGATAGGAGTCGATTGCCGGGCTGCGAACGTGCAGATGTCATGCAGGTGTAGCACTGAGGGGATGGGGTGCAGGGGTGGAAGGGCTTCTTCTTCTGGAATGGTATTGTGGCTGTAGTGGAGGCTTGTACGGTATCGGCTTTGCTGCAGGAGCAGGATTCGCACAGCCGCTGAGGGGGTACATCAATGATCAAAAATATGCTCCGTCAGGACTGCATGTGATAGTATACCACACATCTCTCATGTTATGGATTTGTAAGTGTTTATTTCTGGAAATACAACAATGAGTTTCAGGCCCAAGGTCGTGCGAGCAGGCGGCCTCCAACGAACCAGATGTTGCGGAGATGTCTCTTCTCCCGCTGCTCGGCCCTGTTCCACCGCGGTTGCTGTGCGGAGCCGAATCCTCCGAGCTGGTGGAAGGCCGGGCGTCCGCGGCGAAGGCCGGGCAGCCTTGCAGAGGCCGAGCTGCTGTCGCACCTGGCGGTGCTTTTGCTGCCGGAGGAGCCGATCGCAGAGCTCTTCCGGAATTTTCCTGTGGAGAAAAGCGATGGATGGAGCAGGAACACTTTGAGTCCAGACCTGGCGGTGTATGGTGCTTTGGAAGCAGAGGAAGCAGCTCTGTTCGTGGAGTATGACGGCTACTATCGCCACCTGAAGCCCATGGGCATTGCAGCTGACCGTCGCAAGAACACAGCTCTACTGGATTGGGCACCTGGCGGATCCTACGTGTTGCGCATAGCCCATGCCCATCGTGGATTGGAGCTTTCGTGCGAGATGGGGGAAGTTGTTGTGGACTCGTGGCGGCCTGGCCATGACCCATCATTGGTGAAAGCACTGCGCCAAGTGGTTGAGTTCTTGTTGCAACAACGGGGAAACGCAATGCATCCTGATAGAAGGGCAAAGCTGCAGCACTTCGTCAAGGATTCTGGTGGGAGCTCCCGGCAAGCAGCGATTGAGTACACGGAAGAAGTAGCTGCAGAGCGTCACGAGCGTGACTTCGACCCAACACGTCTGCATGAATTTCTGCAGATGCAGCTGGGTGTGTCCATTTCCAAAGCGGAGGAACTTGTAATCAAATGCCCTGCTCTGGCACGCTGTGACATCGACCACAAACTCAAGCCCGTGACACAATACCTGGAAAGGTGGGGCCTTGAGAAGTCTCAAGTTGCGAAAGTGCTTGCTCGATTTCCGAAAGTTTTGGGATGCAGCATCAAAGAGAACTTGACTCCCACGGTGGAATGGCTGCGACATTTAGGTCTGACAAAAGCTGAGGCTGCCAAAGTGATTGCACGATGTCCGCAAGTATTGGGATACAGCATCGATGATAATTTGAAGCCCACGGTCCAGTGGTTGCGAGACTTAGGCCTGAAGGACGTGGAGGTTGCCAAAGTGATTGCACGATCTCCTTCAATGTTGGGACTCAGCATCGAGGAGAATTTGAAGCCCACGGTCGAGTGGTTTGGCGAGGTTGGATTGGTGAGGGCGCAAATTGTCAGAATGATTTCTCGGTATTCGCAAGTCTTGGGACTCAGCATCGAAAAGAACTTGAAGCCCACGGTTAGATGGCTGCGAAACCTGGGTTTGACGAAGGCTGAGGTTGCTAGAGTGGTATCTCTGTTTGCACCGATTTTGTGGCTCAGCATTGAAGAGAACTTGAAGCCCACGGTGCAGTGGCTGCAAGATCTTGGGCTGACGAATGCCGATGTTGCCAAAGTGATCTCCAGCTGGCCCAATGGTTTCGGCTACAGCCTCGAGAGAAACTTGAAACCGAAGGTGTGCTTGCTCTTGGAATGGTTCTCGTCTGAGAGGGTTCAGCATTTGCTCGTCCACTATCCGTACATACTGAACCGAAGTCGGGAGCGCTGGGTTCACCGGTCCCAGGTTCTGCAGGAATGCGGCAAGCTTTCTGTGTTTGGCTCTGCGATGATGTTGACAGAGGCCAAATTTGCCAAGAGATACGAGGACAGATTGCAAGATCATACAAGATCCGCTGCTGCAAAAGTGGCGAGCTGAAAGTCGGTTTTCTAATGTCGAGTTTTAAGGGACACATTATCATCTATGCCAGTGCAGTCCGAGCCTCCCTTTATAGAAGCCTGAGGTTTGGGCAGTAATCGTTTCAGGGCCTCGAGGTGCAGGGATCTTGCCGACATAGCTTCGGGTTGTCGAGCTGTCGGATGCAGGGTGCCAGGTTCATGCACCGTAACTTCAAGAGGCTCCTGTACATAATTCTGTCCTATACGTAAAAATGGGGACTGTAAGGCCATAGTATATATATGTATACACATAATTATATACATATATATATATATATATATATATGTATATACACTATACAAAGACTATATAGGTACATAAACCCTTTGGGAGAAGCGCTTTGCCTGGCATCCTGGCAAGGTGGGCCTTGCTTCTCGCCCTCTGCAGGTGGAGGCGCCCCCCCCACCCCTGGAGTTAGAGTGCGTCGCAGTTTCCAGGACGCATGCTTTAGGTTTTAGGGTGCGGCGCTTGTGGCTCATTGCAAGAGTTCTTTAGTCTTTACGGGCCTCGATTCCTGACCCAATCAGGGTCTGCTGCAGACTTCCAGTACCGTTTAGTAATTAGCGAACATCTGGTCCGTATTTAATAGTGGTTGTTATCTGGGGTCTGCAAGAATAGGAGAGGTTGGGCGGGAAGTCGAGGCTTACGTAGACAAGACCTAATAAGTAAGCTAATCCGACCTCCAAGGTCCAGAGCTGTGGGTTTTGCAGTCAGGGGCTCTGTGCCTGCAACAGGTTTAGTCAGTTTAGTCTTTAGGGTTCTGAAGTTTCGGCTTTCGGAGGTTTGGTTGTCGGAGAACTTTCCCTTCCACAGAACAAATGTATATAGAAGGCAGCAATCCGCAAGCAGGGTCTAACACCTCGTGGTCCTGGACGTATGGACTGGTGCTACACCTGAACATACAGCAGACCGGCATGCGAAGCCATTTTCCCGGAATATCCCTAAAGTTCAATGGTTCAACTGTCAGAATCTCGAAGTCTTCAAAGCCGTCCGAAAGTTTCATGCATCAAGGGCTTTGCTTATTGTCTGCATTTTTGAGAACCGAGGGCTGTTGGCTCACTGTTGGATTGCACAGAGCCGTCGCGAGGTGGACCAGCCTTCTCTCCCTCTGCGGGCGGAGGCGCCCAACGGACCGGCAGGGGGGGATCGGTGCGGTACTGTTCTTGTTTTTTTGGTTAATTGAGGCCTTCAGAGATGCTGTGTAGGCTGGTTTATATAGTCTCGGGAAAGTCACCATGTGCCATAGGAAGTATTGAGTTTCAGGCTCCAGCATGAGGGTTGTAGAGAGCAGGAAGCCACGGAGAGCCCTGGCATATCTTCTCTCAGGCTTGCTGGCGTTGGTCCTGTTCTCCTGCAGTTTGTGTGCAGTCCGCAGTCCTCCGAGCTGGTGGAAGGCCGGGCGTCCGCGGCGGAGGCCGGGAAGCCTGGCAGAGGCCGAGCTTTTATCACACCTGGCGGTGCTCTTGCTGCCGGAAGAGCCAATCGAAGAGCTCTTCCGGGACTTTCCTGCGGAGAAAAGCGATGGATGGGGCAGGAACACTTTGAGTCCAGACCTGGCCCTGTATGGCGTTTTCGAATCACAGGAAGCGGGGTTGTTCGCGGAGTATGACGGCTACTACCGCCACCTGAAGCCCGCAGGCATTGCAGCTGATAGGCGCAAGACCACAGCTCTACTGGATTGGGCACCTAACGGATCCTACGTGTTGCGCATAGCCCCTGCCCATCGTGGACTGGAGCTTTCGTGCGAGATGGGGGAAGTTGTTGTGGACTCGTGGCAGCCTGGCCAAGACCTATCGTTGGTGAAGGCACTTCTCCAAGTCGCCGAGTTCTTGTTGAGGCAACGGGGAAACGCGATGCATCCTGATCGAAGGGCAAAGCTGCAGAACTTCGTCGAGGATCCTGGTGGGAGCTCCCGGCAAGCAGCGGTTCAGTTCACAGAAGAAGTAGCTGCAGAGCGAAAGCGTGACTTCGACCCAACACACCTGCACGATTTTCTGCAGACGCAGCTAGACTTGTTGCCTTCTCAAGCAGTGGAACTTGTAGGAAAGTGCCCTGCTCTAACACGCTGCGACATCGACGATAGACTCAAGCCCATGATGCAACAGCTGGAAGAATGGGGCCTGAAGAAGTCTCAAGTTGCGAAAGTGTTTGCGCGATTTCCGAATGTTTTAGGATGCAGCATCCCAGAGAATCTGAAGCCCACGGCCCGGTGGCTTCGAGTTTTGGGCCTGACGAAAGCCGAGGTTGCCAAAGTGATTGCACGATGTCCGCAAGTATTGGGATACAGCATCGAAGAGAACTTGAAGCGCACGGTCCAGTGGCTACGAGATTTGGGCCTGACGAAAGCCGCGATTGTCAAAGTGATTGCACGATGTCCGCGAGTATTGGGATACAGCATCGATGACAATTTGAAGCCTACGGCGCAGTGGCTGCGAGATTTGGGCCTGACGAAAGCCGCGCTTGCCAAAGT